AAATGAAAGTTTGCATGGTTACCCGCACAGAAGGATGTAGAGAATCACCCCCAAGGACCACATATCACTCGCAGGAAGCACGTCTCGATGCGATAAAGTCTCTGGAGCAACGTAGTCAACTGATCCAAACATTCCAACGATCGGACTCGTTGCTCCATCAATCTGGCTCAAACCAAAGTCCATGATCTTAAGATGGTTATCCTCTTCCGGGGTCAGGAAGAGGCAATTCTCCGGCTTGAGATCCCTGTGGACGATCCCAGCATCATGAAGGCTACACAATCCAGTCGCGAGCTCCTTGACAACTTTAGCCGCCTGAGCTTCCGAGTACTTCTCTTGAGCAACTATCCTGTCAAACAGCTCCCCTCCGGAGCAAAGCTCCAGCACCAAATGCACGCCTGCTTCGTCCTCGTAAACGTCGTGTAAGTGGACGATGTTTGGATGCGGTGACACATTCTCCACAATCCTTTGCATTACTATGATCTCATTCGCGACCAGTGCCTCGGAAATTAAGCTGTCCTGCGTTGGCCCTGCCGTGCTCTTCCTGCCTCTAGAACCCCTGCCTCGCTTAGTAGCCCCTGCCAAAGGCCTTCCACCATTCTTCTTGTCACCATAGCCAAAGCCTTGCTTCCTCAAAGTCTTTATGGCAACTTCAGTACCATCTTCCTTGTGAACTCCCTTCCTCACCACCGAGAATCCTCCATACCCCAAAACTGGACCAATTATGTAGTCATCCTGGAGCCTGTGCCTGCTGTTACTATCCTCTAGACTCATCCTCGGAAAAATCTGACACCAGAGTTACTTGTTCCACTGCCGCCAATTATCCAGTTTCCCTTCTCGTCCTCCGCGTCTCCTCCTTTTCTTCTTCCAGCCGGATGGATGGAATCTTGCTTACTAATCCCTGTAGCTGTTTGTCAAAAGCTCACCTGGAATTCTTTGCTTTCCTTTCTTTGAAACTGGTGGAACGAAAGAAGAAAAAACGCTTTTTTTGCGCACTCCAAGCATCGTTTCTTCCGAAGGAGACGAGGCAATGACATAACCCTCTCGAACGGCACAGCAGATTCAACGCTTCTACACCAACAGGGAAACAAAAAAACGTATTTTTCTTTGCTTTGGGTGAGAATAAACGCGCTTACTTGTCGTTTCCTCTTAGTTCTTAGTCGCGACTCCTGTTCATCCCCATAGACTGGCCAATTTGATCCGCGCGACCGACCGACCTGCGCCATGGACTGGAATTCGAGATTCCTCTTCCGCGACTTACCGCAGGGGACTCCATCTGGTGGAATGCGGGCCGGCAGCGCGACGATCGCCATCGCCCTACAAACCCCAAGCCCTAATTCCCGCGCTTTCTAGAATTTAAATTTAAATTGGACCCCTTTTAACTTCACCATCACAAACATAGAAGTGGAAAGCTTAGAAAACGAAGATCCAGCCATGGATTGTGTCCAAATCTTTGGAGAGACGCTCCTTTCATAGAGCGGCATAAATAAAAAATGGAGGAAAGCCACAGCTGGATGGAATTCACACTCGTCCTTCTTGCCAATGATGCGAGCTCATAGTGGGCTGCGCTTGTTGGATCCAAGGATTGTGGCCACCACTAGACAATTTTTTAAAGCTTCAAGGAAGTATTTTTTTTCGTTCTCTGTCCTGGAACACACCTTTCCAACAAGTTTCTTCTCGCTTTTGGGATTGATTCCTTGAAAGCTTTCGCCAGATCCAACCAACAAAAGGAGGAGGGGATGGATTCTCCTCTGGGAGATGCGAACACCACCTTGATCTTGCTCGCGCTCGTGTTCTTGAGCTCCATTGTCGCGGACGTGAGTTGTAGCAGCGATGATCCATCGCTGAGCGCTTTCTTCTACGATTATACGTGCCCCCAGCTCCAGGACATCGTTCGATCGGACGTGGAGAAGGCTTTCAAGCGCGAGGCACGGATCGCGGCGTCGCTTCTCCGCCTCCATTTCCACGACTGCTTCATCAATGTGAGTAAGCAATCCAAAACTCTGAAAGCTTTAAGTAGTACCTTAGTGTTCTCCCAAGTTTCTCGGGCGAAAGAGAAGAAAAAAACGATTTTTTTCCGCAGGGATGCGATGCCTCGGTGCTGCTGGACGACACCAAGACCTTCAAAGGCGAGAAATCTGCGCTGCCCAACGCGAACTCTCTCCGTGGATTCGAACTCATCGACGCGATCAAGGCCAGAGTGGAGATCCAGTGCGAAGGAGTCGTCTCCTGTGCTGATATCTTGACGCTCGCTGCTCGAGACTCAGTCGCACTGGTACGTAGTACCAAGAAAATCCCTCCTTTCTGATCGATCGATCGGTCCAACTCTTATCAGACCGGAGGACCATCGTGGGAAGTGCTGCTCGGGCGGAGGGACAGCCTCACTGCCAACAGAACCGCGGCCAACGTTCTCATCCCACCCCCTATAGCCGACGTTCCAAAGCTCGTCTCAATGTTCGCCACAATGGGGCTCACCGAGGTAGACATGGTAACACTTTCCGGTACGTAATAAAATCCCCACCGTCCATCGCCGCGCCCATTCTGACCCGGAATGTCCACTGTTCTTGGCGCCAAGGCGCCCACAGCATCGGCCAGGCGCGATGTTCCACCTTCCGCCAGCGATTATTCGACGATCGCGGCAGCGGCAGCCCCGATCCGACCATGCAGAAGCAGTTCCTGGGCTCGCTGCAAGAGATTTGCCCCCGGCAGGGCAACGGCAACGCGGTGGCGCCGCTGGATTTCGTGACGCCCATGCGATTTGACAACAATTACTACCTCAATCTCCAGTATGGCAAGGGGATCTTCGCGTCGGACCAGGTGCTCTTCAGCGGGCGCGGGATCACGGAGAACTACGTGCGCTACTACAGCTACGATCAAGACGCATTCTTCCAGAGCTTCGTGCGCTCCATGATCAAAATGGGCAACATCACGCCGCTAACAGGGAAGAGAGGCCAGATTCGAAAGAACTGCCGAAGACCTAATTAGGGCAAATCGACGATTCCAACTGACCTAATTAGGGAAAAACATAAATTAAAAAGAAAGCAATCTATGCACTGCCCGGGAATCGAACCCGGGTCTGTTCCGTGGCAGGGAACTATTCTACCACTAGACCAGCAGTGCAACGCTGATATCACTGCCCTTTTTTTCTTCAAATCTTGCGTCAAGTTCTACTATCCAATGGTAGAAGCACATGGCAAGCCTTGATATTTTTTTCCTCTTGTCATAGTAATCAAGGGATCTTTTCTAGCTTTCTAAGATTGTGATTGCAGAACTTGGCAACATTCTCCATTTTTTATCTCCAAGTCTACAATAGCAATTCTCAAATGTATGATATGGAGGAAGTTTACTCAAGAAACTGGAAGAATATAGAGCGGGAATCTTTATAGAGCTAGTTACTAGATAGCCTGGTAGGCATAGCCAAGTTCCTGGAATAATACCAAGGGAGAGTCTAAACAAACCATGGAAGGAGACGATCCAAATGACCCCTTCGATTTGTTTGTCAAATACTACAAGCATTTGCATGTGCTGGTACTTTCTTTCTTATCATTGTTTTGAGCAAGTGGTTTTGTTTCTTCGTGCAAGGTGAATGAAATGAATGAATGTGTGAAAGCTCTATAACTTTGGAGATTGATATTTGGATGGAGTGATAGACCAACAACCGGATGCTACTCGAAAACTTTGATATCTCTGAAACAACATCGCTGTCCGGGGATCTCTCTATTTCTTGGGAGATCTCCGATCAGAATAGTGTGAATCATCTCAGGTCTCCTCCTTGAGTCCCTTCCTTTCCATCTCTAAACTGTCCCAGCCATATGCTTAATGATTGACCAATGAATTGTTTATGGTCGGAGGCACGAGTGAGATCCCTGGCAACCAACAACAAACACCAGAAAACGAGCGAGCTTTGGAGTTCAACGAACGATCCTTGATGAAACCCATGCTCATATGCTTAAGCAACCCAGATTCCCGTGGACAAAGCTTCCCAGGACTAAAGAATTCGAGCTCTGTGTTTGGTGATCGTCCACATTCATCGAGCTTCCATCATCCTATTAGTTAAATCATATTATGGCCAAAACACATCATTTACTTAACCCAAATGAGCTGGTTTAGGACAAAACAAAGCGACGCGGACTTGTTTGCTTGGATTGTCGTGTCAATGGAAGTGTCACGGTTGAATTTGTCCCTGCGTTGTGCTTGGAGAGGAGTGAAAGAAAGAATGCGTTTTCTTTGCGGAAACGCAGCCGGGGTGATTATTCTAGGGCCATAATGTTTGTGGTTGTTCTTGCAAATTCTACTGTTTAGCTGATCACGCTTTGATGGGACGAAAGCAAAAGGACTGACTCGAATCATGCTGTGTGTTTGCTCCCTTGTTGTTAGTTCGTGTTGATCCATCGTGCGGATTAAAAATTGGCATCTGGTTGATTCCTTGGAGCAAACTTTAGCTAAGTTTTTTCTGGGTGGGATTACGACACCCCTGGATGGATCATCCCTGTAGAAACATAGGTAGAGCTCTAGCTAGCTAACTTTTTTAGCTCTAATCTTTCCTGCAGGGTTGTATTCGATGATAATTTAGCGATTAATTAGTACATTATGCATTAAGCATGGCAAAGGTGGTGAAATTCACGTGAATGTCCAGGAAGCTGTTCAAGTCAAACTGTAAGTTCCCGGGGGGAACGCCTTAGAAGGAATATTTTGCCTGGGAAGCAACTCAAGCTCGCAAACCAGGAAAGTCCTCTTTCTTGTCTCGTGAACTCAAACAATTGGTTGCTTCCAACTGGGATCACGACTCCCCCAAGAACTTGTCCGTGACCCCTATCTTAGCTCCGCCACCCCGCTTTGAATCCATCCAATCCAACCCAATTGAACAAAAAAGAAGTTCCACAGAAGAACGGAGGAATCGGAGATCCGCCACGTTGCATGGGAGAATATTCGGGAATCATTTACGGGGGGTTAGGGTTTAAGCAAGAGCCCTAAAAATTCGTGGGCTATGGCGGCAAGGACGACGGTGGAATCCGTGGGCGGGCCAGCGGTGCCAATGCTTGGCCCTCTTTTCCGGTATGTATTTTCGGCGCTCTTCACTCTAGCTAGCGTTTTAAACTCATTCCCGAGCGAGTACTGGAACTGTTAGTGGAGGGATTTTCCCCCCCTTTTTTTTTCTTTGCCCATCTGGGGGAGAAGTTTGGCGGCTTGCGTTGTTGCGTGGTCCTTTTTAGCTTTTCATCCGGTCCATGCCATTCATTCAAGCGTTGGAAGAGATGAAAATGGAGAGAATTCTTCTCTCTCTCTCGCATTTTTTATGCGTTCTTTTCTCATTTTTTTGCTTTTGTTTTGTTTTCGCTTATTTTTTGAGAGAGAGAGCGCTTTGGTGGTGGTCGTATCTTCTGTGAGCGAGTGATCCTTTGGCAAAGTTTTTTTGAGATTCTCTGCGAATTTTCCTTTTCTTGTTTGTTTCCATCTCCTTGGGATCACTTCCTCCGGCATTATCGGTTTTTGCAAACACTCGCTTTCCCCCTTGGCCAGCCGGCAACAGTGTGCTTTAAGTTCTAACTCGCGTGTCCTTGGGTACTGTAAGAGACAAGCGCAGCGCCTCTATCCCTGCCAAAGAAAAAGAGAGGGAAAAAAAAAAAAGAAATGGAGAGAGAGAGAGAAGAGAACACTACTGTGCAAGCAAGCGATCGCTCGCTGCTGACCACCCCTGGATTGAATTCTTTGTGGTCCTTTCAGTGACTCATCGAGCTGTGCAACTCTGTCTGCCATAGCCAGTTTGTGTTTTTAAAGGTTATTTTTTTTCCTCTTCCTGGCTGTGAAAGGGAGTGTTTTTTTTTCTCCCCTCTCCTCGTTCTTTCGTCTTCACCACGGGCATTATAGGTGTACGCAGCTTCTGGTCATTTCCGGCTCCTCCGCGGCATTAGAATACGCGAGAGAGATAAAAAGTATAAGGAGGAGGTCCCCTTCTTAATGCTTTGCGGGTTTCAGTCACGCAATTGGAAGCTAGAGTTGCCGCCTCGTTGCTTCCTTGCTTCCTGTTCGTTTGGTTCGTTCGTCCCCCCCAGGCATTGATCTTTCTCTTTATCCTTTGTTTTCTTTTCTTCTTCTCTGTGCCATTGCATTCCTCCCGGCATAGCTTTTGCTAACTCAACGCGTATGTCTGTCGATTCAGTCGGTCTGATCTAGTTGTTATAAGATCCTTGCGAGTTGTTCTGCACTCATTTTCATCCCAGGGAAACGTGTTGGTGTTTCGAGCCGCTGCGGCTGCGGCTGCTGCTGCTGTACTCTTGCTCGTGCGTCTATAGCTTGTGTTACGCTGTTCCAGTCCACCTTTGAGTTTTTTTTCTTTCTTTTTTGATCCTGTTATTTTTTTTCTCTCTTTTTTATAACTTAAGCTTAGTGTATAGTATAGTATTGCATCTGCACATCACTGCACTGGTGCTCTCTTTTTCCTCCATTGCTTTTGTTCAGGGCTGTGCCTGTGCTTCTTTTCGTGTACTTGGGGAACTGCCAGATACGCAAAAACAGCCTTCCTTTTGCTCTCTCTGTGTGTGCTGCTGCTGCTGCCCAGGACCAGCACAGGTGCATTGCTCGCTCCATCAGGTTTTTCCTCTCCTCCTCTTGCCCTTTGCTAAGTATGCTGGTGTGTTTAGGAGGAGTGGGCCCTTTGTGCTGCTATGCTTCCATTGTTGGGCTTCTTGTTTTCTTGCCAGGTGATTCCAACTCACTGTTTCTCTTTGTACTGGCTGGCTAGACTCTTGATTTATGAGCGGCTCTAGACTCTCCCTCTTTTCTCACTCGCAACTGCTCGACCAGGCTCGGGTGCTCTTTTGCGACATTTCTTCAAGCCTCTCTTTATCCTTTGCAGCTTTCTCCTGCTGCCCGTGTGAAAATTTCAATCAAACGACCCTACTTTCGCTCTATACCTCTCGCTTCGCTGCCCCTCTGTGTTAGATTACACAATTGCTCCAAGTTATCCAGTTGAGCGTTATTGTTGTCTCTTGGAATGATGGTAGAATGGTGTTTGAGGACTGAAGTAAGTGGTTGTTTTGGGCTATTGCAATGTGTGTGCGTAAGAGTCATCTTGCATTGCTTGCCGCGACAAAAAGAACGATTCTGATGCTGAATTGTGCTTGTTTCTGTGACAGAATCGAGCAGGAGATATCACACAATGGCTCGTGCTCGTTCTTCCGGCCTTCCAATCACTGGATGTCATCGTTGTCTCCTAAGCTAGCTACTGAAGGCCTACATTCCGAGAATTCTATCGATTACAACGCGTGCGTGATACATGGCTGCTGTACCACACGTATCGTCTGCCGAGTCCCTATTCCATGAGGGCATGGACGTCTCGCATCCTCAAGCACTGCCTCGAGTCGTCACCACCGCTCAGCAGCACGGCTTCTCCACGCCTATGTCCCTTGATTTCCACGACAAGTTTACTTTGGAGAGATCACTTCCAAGCTACGCCTCGTCGAGCTTTCAGCTGGTCGGACAGTCTTCCTCTTCTTGGGAGCCGCAGCAGCAGAATGCCGACACACACTTCTTCACGTCCAGCGGCAATGCAGCAGCACAGGTGTTGAGTATACACTCCTCGCATCATCTCACCGGAGGAGAACAGCATGAAATTCTCGTCGACTGGCAGCAAATGGGAGATTTTGCGTCGTCCCTTGGGAGTGGAGGCTCTGGTTTAACTCCCTCGAGCACTACTACAACTGCTACTACAGCTCAAGGAGCGGCATTGTCCGATGGAACCATGGTGGAGCTAATTGGACGGATAGGGGGGTGTCTCTCCACCAGTGCGAGCACAAACTCTTCAATGAGATCGAGTCCTCATCTCCTGGCGTCCGAGGCGAAAAGTGGATGGAATTCTCCAGTGGAGGCGGCAAGTCAGCATCACGGGACTCATGGTTTCATTTCGTTTGGGAACGGTAACGCCGCCGCTGCTGCTACTGCTTCTCACTTAAGTCAAGCCGTCTTTGCGTTGGTTGACGAGAACAAAGATCACATCAGATCTGGTGTTGCGATCCCACTTTGCCAGGCTGATGCAAGTAAGTTGCCAGTTGTTGAGACGAAAGTTGAGGCATCTGTGGATGACACCAGTGGGGCCAAGAGCGCGCAAGAAACAAGTAAGCGATTGCAATTGGCCGAGTTTGTTCCGTGTCTCAAAAATCTGGTTTTTCCTTTTCCTTTTTCCCGCAGGTCAGGCGTCGATTGTCAAGGAATCCACCGGAAGGAAGCGGAGGACATTGTCCGAGGACAAGCTCAAAGACGGTTCTTCGTGTGTGACCAGCAGCGGTATCAAGGTCCGTGATTCTTTTAACAAGAATTCGCGGCTTTTCTTTCCTTTTCTCTTTTCTCCCAACTAAGCGTCGTTCTTGTGTCTCGACAGGATGGAGAGCAAGTTAAAGGCAAGCGACAGAGGAATCCAAACGCGAAGGAAGAGTCAAAACAGCATGGTAATGGTAAAGCCGATCGAAGCAGCAGTGACAACTCTGGAAGCACAAGCCCCAAGTCAGTCAAGGAGAACACAAAACCACCCGAGCCTCCCAAGGACTACATTCATGTGAGAGCTCGAAGGGGACAAGCAACCGATAGTCATAGCCTCGCTGAAAGGGTAAGCTACCTGTGAACTTTAATTGCGAGAGTTCGTGCATTTCTCTATTTCAATCGCACTTAAAATTCCCATTCCTTCTGTACCAGGTTCGAAGGGAGAAAATCAGCGAGCGTATGAAGTTCTTGCAGGATCTAGTACCCGGATGTAACAAAGTAAGTTTCAATGCATTTGCCAGGGACTTCGATGATGGCTGATGAGAATTCTCTCTCGCTGCTGTAGGTTACTGGAAAAGCCGTGATGCTTGATGAAATCATTAACTACGTCCAGTCGCTCCAGCGTCAAGTTGAGGTACAGCTCGTCGAAGTGTTGATTCTCAGTGTATTTACGCGAGTTTTCTTTAAACCAGTTCCTGTCAATGAAGCTGGCAGCCGTGAACCCCCGCCTGGAGTTCAACGTCGAAAGTCTACTAGGAAAAGAGGTTCGTACGCTGCTAAAAATCCTTTTTTTTTTTTCTTGTGTCCTTGTTTTAGTTCTTGAGGCTAAGTCTAGATTTGTTCTCCTCGGCTTAGGTGCCGCATGGACGGGCCTCTCCAACAAATTTTGTCCTGGGGCCCCAAAGCTATTCGCAGCAGCTGCATCAAGCACAACACAGTGCCTTGCAACTTGCCGGTTTCGACTTGAGAACACTGACCGGTTTACAAGAAGTTGCTATGCGAAGAGGAGCTTTCCCGTGCCTCGATCCATACAGTGATCCCGCCTCACAGGTACCAAAGAATAAAAGCAAAAGCGTAGTAGAAGCTTTGAAAGTTCTAAACTTTTCCTCATTTTTTTGGCTTGTAGACATCAAGTGTTTGGGATGGGGAGCTACAGAACATCGTTCACATGATGGGCTTTGTGGAGAATGGTCAGTGAAAGAGTTTATAGCCTCAGCTTCTCTAAAGTTTAAACTCCTTTGATTTCTTGCCAGGTCCTTGAAGATTATTTCTTGCAATTATTTTGTTCGTACCGCTGCTAACCAGACTAGAGAAGAGAAGATTACTCACAACACCAGCGAGGAAGGGAGGTATTTTATGTATCTACTTGCGACAATAAGCTCAGCGCTATACATAAGAATTTGGACAAGCCGAGTGCTGCGACCGGGATGGATCAACGCGAATTGCCTCAAAGGAGAAGAAAAGTTGAGCCATTTCGGTGCCAGTGTACACTTGAAACTACATAGCTTCTTTGTTGCGGCCTGGCGTCCTTGTATTATATTATATATATATGATTAAAATATTAATGTATTTATATGTGCGTGCTTAAGTTGATCAAAGACTTTGTGATTTGGACATGACTTCGTTTGCGGAAAAAACACCGAAAAAGTATAGAAACATGACATGGAAGTCATGATGCTATATTCCTCACGATCTTAGGTTTGTATGTTTGAATTATAGGTTTTCTTCCTTTGCATGCCCAAAGTCGTGATTCTTTCCAGTGTGGATCGCATTTCTAGTTATAGCCAGTCAAGGAATTTTCCCGCCCTCGTGATTTCCAAGTACCAAAGCTCGTGCTCTACGAGCTTTGGTACTTGGAAGAATTTCGGTCTCTCTTGGCTTCTCGAAGAGGTGTGTGTGGTTGGATTCACGCTCGAAACAGTCCCGAAGATCACGGAAGAAAGAAGTTCTCCAACCAAAAACATCGCAAAGTCCACAAGCTTCCAAATCGACCCAAGATTGACTTGGAGAAGTGGATCGATCGTTTCTACACTGAGATTCTTGCATTGCATGCGATATCTTTTTTGTTGAGAGTGGGATTCGAACCCACGCCCTTGCGGACCAGAACCTTAATCTGGCGCCTTAGACCAGCTCGGCCATCTCAACTTAACGCTATAGTTAATGAATCGTCTACGTGTCTGAGACACTTGTCAAGCTCTTAGAGATTTAAGGGTTCTTGCCAGGAATGGAGACTGCCGGGCGGCATTTGGCGCAGCGCCTGGCGGAGAACGGCGTGATTGATCTCTGGATTTTAATCTGCTGCTGCTCGACGAGCTCATCGCCGAGCTGCGGCTGAATTTCGTGGGCTGCTGCAACGAGCTGGCTATGCGCGGGCGAAAGGCGTGGGAGCTTGCAAATTTGCCGGTGATTTGCATCGTTGGAGGCCCCAATTCGAATGACTATGAGAGCAATCGAGTTCTTCATCACACGATTGGAGTCGCGGATTTTACTCAGGAGATCGCATGCTTCAAGCAAGTTACCTGTGCTCAGGTACCAAAATTTCTTTCTTTCTTTCCATTCGTTTTTTCTTTCTCCGTGACCTCATTACATTGAAAACTTGGTTTTTTGTCTCATCAATGGTTTTGCTGGTTTTTGCGTGGAAGATTTTTGTCCTGCAGTACTTTGTTCTTGTTTGGAAATCTTCGTGCTCTTCCTCGCTGACACAACACACACAAGCATTGTTTTCATAGCTTTATGGGAACCAAGACAAAGCTTTTATAGGCACTTGTGGAACTTGGCTGATTTCTCCATGTAGTTTTTCTTTCACAGGTGGTTGTCAAGGACCTGGAGGATGCTCACGAGTTGATCGACTACGCCATATTTACGTGCCTCTGGCGGAAGTTGGCGGCAAGGAAAAAACTCTGGTGCAAAGCTTCGAGTTAATGTGCTCTTCCAGGTCTAGACTCTCTCGTCGAGGTTTCAGCTTTTCATTTTCTGAAATTCCTTCTTTCTTTTCTACAGGGCATGATAGCTGAAGGTTGTCTTGCGAGCATTCAATCGATTTGGTAATAGATGACTTGCGTTGACCCCTCCTCACTTGCTGGATCTACAAACCCTAGGACGACACTTAACACAACATTCATTTTTTCCCCTTTGCACATATATGATATGTGCCTGCTTTGCTAGATCTCCCTCAAGAAGAAATACCTAGGAGGAGGACTTTGTGATTTGGATAACTTTGCTTGTGAAAAATAAGAACGTTTGAATTATAGAATTTTCTTCTTAGTGCGCATTTCTAATTATAACTGGTTAAGGAATTTTTGCACTTTGTTAAAGAGTGCTTTCGTACTTTTGGTCTCTCTTTGGCTTCTCGAAGAGGTGTATGTGGTTGGGTTCACGCTCGAAACAATCATGGAGATCACTGAAGAAAGAATAACTCTAACTAGAAGATCTCAAAGTCCACAAGCCTCCAAATGGATACATCAATTGTTTCACATTGAGATTCTTGCATGCCCCACATCTAGGTGCCACATCTATTACTGTGATTAGATTTCCTTATTCTTATTTTTGCAAATTGCAATGATCTTTTAATTGCTTTCTTAGTAGTAAAGATGTTTACTTTACAGTATCTAAACATGACTACCTTACCACATAATTTTTTTTAAAAAAGATTTTATTCCCAAATTGACTTGTAATATTGTTAAAGGCTATTTACCATAACAAATAACGATAAAACTTCTAAACCATAAGTACCAAAATAAATATCATTAAAATTGATGTGTGAGGTTTAAGTGTATAGCTACAATGCCGTATACTAATATTAACATAGTGAAATTTTAGTAGCCATTAGATTGGTTTTAATCTAAACCACTCACTCCTATATATAAACTAGGGTTTTTGGGTTAATTAATATATATATTTTCTATATTCTTTTTCCATATTTTATACACTTACATTAGTGGAGGTAAAGGGCAACCTTGATTGTACCTGAGGAGTGCTAAGATTTGAGATTTTTGGTTTAAATCTAACTTTTACATTGTCTAGATTTTTCTATTCTTTTAGCTTTTCTCAAGTTTTTCTTTTCTATTTTTTTTTTAATTTTATTCATCTTCATAGTAAAGTAGCAGCCTCCTCCTCATTTGATTTTGGAGTAGTAGTTGGTGCACTTATCTAATGCTATGTGATTGCAAATAAACAATCAGACTCAGCTGATGGTAGTATTTAGTCTAACTCTTTTTACTTTTGCTACCAATCCTCACATTTGGCTAGAGTTCTTCCATGGGAATCTTGGGGATGATATATACTATTGGTGTGATCACTTTATGGTGATTGCCATATATCATTTTGGAATGATGCTCAACATTTGTATGAATTTCCCATATGTCTCCAAGGGACAGCATTATAGTGATACAATGGTTTGAGTGTAGCCATTAGTGAAGATTGGAGTATTCTTTTAAATATCTTTAAATGTGCATTTGAACATACTGACAATTGTGATGATACCTTTTAACAATTGTATTGTCTTCGTCAAGTGCCATCTAAGTCGGTGATGCAATTTTGCATTCATTTCCAAAGCCTCTTACTTCGTGCAGAGCCAAATATGTTGGAGCGGATCAAGCTAAAGATGTTATGATTAGCACTTTATTAAGATTTTGTATGACTTGTGCATGCACTTCCTCGAACCATTTTTGATGATGCCCTTTGCTTGGCACAACATTATAAGACATTACCTCTTCCACTTTTCGCTGCATGTCCTCCAGCTCCACTTTGTACGGGAGATGGTCATGTTCCAATGAAAGTTGATGTTGTTGCTGCCTAAGTTTAAGGACAAGAGTGAAGACATAGTCGTGGCCATGATGTCTGTTCTTAAGTGTGTGATGAAGTTGGTCACATTTATCAATGTTGTTGGCATTTTCTAGATTAACGACCTTTATTTCTTGGGTGGAAACCTTCGCATTAATAATGTTCTGTTGGTGTTGTTGCAGTGGAAAGTCTAGACACCAAAAACTTGGTTAGTTGTACTATTTGGTGGGTTTTGAAGCTTCAAACATATAATTTTGATGTTGTTTATCACTCGGGGAATTCTATAGATGATGTTGATACCCTTTCTCGAACTCCTTTCCCTTTTTTGCTCTCTTTTTAATTTTTGTCGAACTTGTTGTTCTAACATCTATGGATTTTTTGGATGAGGATTCCATGCCATTAGCGGATGTTACTTGACATTCAATATCCACAAGGTGCAGAGTAGGATTTACCTTTTCTTGACAAGGTTCATGTAGTTCAAAATATTGAGCTATGGATTCAAATGCTTTGTGATGGGTTTAAGAATCCCAGATCACTTACTAATGACTTACCATTTTGGCATTTACATTCTCAATATTACCTTGAGGATAATTTTCTTTATTTTGTAGAGACAAATTTTAATGATCATTTACAGTTGTTGGTGCCTTCAATACTTATTCAACACTTTCTCCACACCTACCATGATTCCCCTATTCTAAGTGGGCATATAAAACATCGTTGTGTGACCAAGAAGTTGCATAAACTTTTTTTATTGGTTAAAGATGCAACGTGATGTTATTCAGTATATGCATAGCTACGTTTGGTGCAAAGCTTGTAATATTCCCCTTCGTGCTATGGAAGGATGGTTGAAGTCAATTACAATTTCCCATCTGTTTGAATATAGGGTGTTTGATTTGATAGGACCTTTTCCATGATCGACTGTTGGCAATGAGTATGTTATTATTGCTTCTAACTACTTGACTTACTGAGTGAAAGTTGGTGCTCTTACTAACGCATTTACAACTGTTGTTGGATGCTTCCTCCTCAATAAATTGGTGTTCCAGCATTCTTGTCCGGAGCAGATTCTTTCAAATAATGGTCCCGCATTTATGGCTAAGGCATTTTATGTTTTGATGTCTTGGTTAGGGATACGCCACAAATTTACAAATTCTTATCATTCACAATAAGACGGTTTAATAGAATGACTCGTTTGGACCTTCAAAAGGATGATCATGAAGTATATGAACTTTCAGCATTTTGATTGGGATAGTTATTTTCCATCTCTTCAGTATGCGTATATCACAAGGGTGTAGAGTTTTGTTGGTGCTTCATCATATAAACTCCTATATGGTCATGATGTAATATTGCCAATGAAGTTGGGTTTACCTTCATGATTGCCACAGGTTGCCAATGTTAGGTCGTAGGATCAATATTTGACAAACATTTTTCCACTTGTCTGAACATTGTCTGCTAAACACTTAAGTCATGTACAAGTGGGACATCAATGGTGCTATAACTGTCATCATTGTCCACTTATGGAGTACAAAGTGAATGATTTTGTATTAGTCTATTTTCCTCATCTTACGGTACGTGGTTTATTTAAGAGGCTTTTTGCTCAATGGAAAAGACCATATCAGGTGTTATGGCAAGTTGAATCACAAATTTATGAGATTCGGCATGACATTCAATAGGCCAATTTTTCAAAAATTGTGCATGTGTTGTGGCTGAAACGCTTCGTATAAAGGGATCAAGAATAATTAACACTATTTATAAATCCATTGATGCCTCTTCCTAATGTTCCTCAAGATCTTG